TTGAGGTTACTAATTCTATTTCTTAATATAGAAATATGAAGACTGGGTGCACCAAAATGTTTAAAATAGCATCATTATAACAACAAAGCATCGGAAATGCAATGAGAGTTAAATAACAGACAGAGCGCTTGCACTAAGAAATATACACATGTTAAAAATGAATGAGGTAGGGCTTCATAGGCCAATATAGAAGATTAGTAATACGTGGTTGATAAAAATTTAAAAGCAAGTTTCAGAATAATAGCATCATGTAATACTATTGTTAAAAATGTATGCATGCATATCTACTCACCTATGCATCTATTCATCTATATTTTCATGTTTTAGTGAGAAAGCAGATACTGAATGATATCCAGCAGATTGCTAAACATTTCTTATTAGTTGAATATTTAGAGCACACAAGTGCTATTTGCGTACTTTATAGAATTTCCAGATTTTAGCACAAAATGATTTTTGCATAGTTTACATAAGGATGATGATTATGCATCCATGAGTACATTTTACCGAATGTACTTTTCTCCCTCTCTTCCATTCCTATTTTACCATTTTATCAAGTGGGTGAAGATGTTCATTCATGTGCCATCTTGAATGTTAATTATATGTCACAATATCATTTAAAGAGAGATAGGTACATTAGGACATAAGTGTAAAAGTGGCAATTCTGTACCACTGGAGCAGCTGGAATGAAAATGTTACTCAGATAAAGAACTGCAGAAGCTACATTGCAGCATACAGAGTCAATAGAGACTGCAGCCATGGAAAAGGAGACTCATACTTCCCAAGTGTTTTTTAACAAACTGCATCCTACATTAGCAAACATTTATTTTATAATTTTATTGCTTACACTTAAGAAAAATTACTTTGTGTAGTACCTTTATCTACCTAATTTGAGTATTATGCTTAACATAACTGAAGGAGGAGGCAGCCTCTCTACTTTTTCTATGATTCTGTGCAACTGCACACGGCAAGGGTCAACTTTTCCTTTAAAGCCATTAAAAACCAGGCCTAAAAGCCATGTAAACTTGAATAGTTTTGCTACCTCTGATTTGCTTTCAAACTTCTTCTGTAGTAGCAGTGAACAAAGGACACACTGAAGAAAGTGAGAGCAGAGTTCTGATTTGGAAGAAATGCATTTTGTAAAAATGTCCTAGAAGTGCAAGGCACACTACAAGATGGAGTTAAGACTGCAAGCTTGCAGGGCATACAATGGAATGGATGAGCTATAATTGTCCATGAAACTTCAGGACAATGCCCAGGAGGCATAGACAGAGGAAACTTATCCCAAGAGTCCTGAATTTAAATCACTTATTTTGTTTTGGTACTACACTTAGATGAGCCATTGTCTATGAGAATTCTTAGTCAATAGAATGGTGGGGAGAGGGTGATTGGGAGAAAACAAGCTTGTGTTTTAAAGAGAGCAGTAAGAGAGCCTCAAGTCCCTTCATCATGTGCCTCACTAAAGAAAACCCCACTTATTATACTGATCTTTTGCTCCTCTCAATATCAGAAACTCATAGTTGCACATATCTGTGCAATGGACCTAACATATTATATTTAGCAATATATATGTATATACAAATACATATATGCATGCAATAACAATTAATAAAAAAGACCATGAATTTAAAGAAGAATTGGAGAAGGATATATGGTAGGGTCTAGGGGGAGAAAAGAGAAATGTTATAATTTAATAATGATATCAAAAACAGCAAAGAAAGAAAAATAATTTTCAATAAATATTTTAGTTTGGAATAAATTTTTATTTGAGAGAAACTTGCAGAAACAACTTGGAAAATGTTTCCCTCAGTTCCTCCAGTATTCACAAGACATGGAAAGCTTTAAACCCATTATGTGGTTTAGTCAGAGGTTTGGTCCAGGACTGTGTAAAAAAGCTAGCTGAGCATGATGAGCCTCTGATTGGGCCAGCCATCCATCAAGCAGCCTGCTTCCATGGTCTTTGCTCTGTTTCCTTAGTTATGGATCAGTTCTCAGGTAAGTTGGAGTTTCTACTGTTTGTGATAGCAAGCAGCTCTTCCTTTAGTTTCCTGACTTGAGTTTTTGCCTTGACTTCCCTCAAAAATAGTGACTGGAAAGTAAAATTCAAAAATAAACCCTTTTCTTCTCATCTTGCTTTTGGTCAGAGTGTTTTATTACAACAGTAAAACAGCCAGTCACTAAGCACACATTACAATCCATGGGCAAAGAGTTAAATCCCATCTTCTGAAGATATAGTTACACATATTTAGAATAATTCTCTAAGTTATGGATAATTGTCCTGTTTCATTTAATTATCCAATCATATTTATGCAAGTATAGTCTTGTGGATATTCTTTCATCTTTTGCACTATAATTAAATTCTGTTTTTATTGATTTTTTGCAGTTCAAATTCCTTTAAATTCCTGTGTTATTGAGCTGCTGCCTACCTCAGACAGTCCTCACTCTGCACTGTCAAGTGATAAGAGCCAGCTATCCACAAGATGAATGCTAATCCATTGTTTTGCTCAACAGCAACCAGTGTAAAAAGCTGAATATAGCAAATGGTAAACACCTGATGATCAACTGTAAACACACGCAGATGCAGACCACAAACTGAATTACAGATGCTTTTGTTTACCACAAGATAAATCTACATAAAAACCATTCAGCCAGGTAATTTTCTACTCTAATTTTTCAAATATCAGTAGAACAATCAAAACTTGGAAATGGAAGGAAGCCAGATAGATGGTTCTAGGGTTAACAGCACTGGCTGTTTCTTCCTGCATTTAGTTCCCAGCATTCACGTGGCGACTCATAGCCATCTGTGACTGCCATTCTAGGTCCTCTTTTTGCTTTCCAGGGCACCAGCCACACATGTGGTACAAAGACATACATACAGTAGAAACACCCTTACATATAAAGTACATAATTTATTTTAATTTTAAAAGAAATGGAAGGTAAAGACTTGTGTGGTGCTACACACATGTAAGCCAAGTGCTTAGAAAACCTATACAAGAACATCACTAGCCCAAACATTTAAATTGAATTAAATTTAAAGGAGTAAGTCATGATTACATAACTGTAATCACAATACTCAAGAGGTGAAGACCAGAGGATT